ATTTCTACAATTAACTGTTAAAGATGACTTTTTCACATATATTAGGAATAACAGTATTACTGTTAAACATTATATTAACTACTGGTAAGTTTTTTTTTATGTATATATACGTATAATTACTGGTATATAAATAAGTTCATTTAACTTCGCGTTTATTTGATTTAATAGCACAATATGGTGCTGCAGAATTTCAGGTGTTATATATATTATTAATTTTATTTTAAAGCGAGTTCATTTATAATATATTACATTCATCAATAAATATAGAAAAAAATAGACCAATCAATAAATATTCAAAAACAATACACACAAACATACAAACCTGGGACTAAGACATGATATTGGTTCCAGTACAAACAAACATAAAAAAAATGCTTTCTATTCTGGGTTAAGCCGCAAGATTATTACATTTATTCATATGTATTAATTATCGTTTACGTAATTGCAAAAACCATTATAAAACATACAAATTCACAATTATAACGAACGCCAAGTTCACAATATTGTAACGCATTACAGTATTAAAAAACAACGTCGAAAGTAATCACTGCAATCCGTAAATCGTACAGTAAAATAAATCCCTTTCCGCATAATTCAATTTTTGCACGTATTTCATATACAGGTATCATTTACAATTTATTTTTAAAACAAGTATAGCTAACGCTTAATATAATTTTATTCACTATGCAGGTCAACGTCCCTCCGCTATTGGACAAAATATGCTTGGTCAACGTAACATATTTGGGATGCAAGGAATGCAAGGAATGCAACGATTGTTAAATGCTCAGAGACAAGGAAGGCAATTTGGACTTAATGGAGGGGTTCCATCTCCTCCCGGTTTCCAACCATTGACTAGACAGTTGTCAAATATGTTACCAATGCAACTTCGAAATGCTTTACCGAGAAATCCATTTAATTCTCCCGGAGTTAGTGGTGTTAATACTGTGTTGAATGGAGGAGGACAAGGTTTTACAGGTAGATTTGGGGGAGCTACAGGAGACGAATTGACGAGACAACTGTCTCCTGTTCCTGCAGATGGTGCTTCAACGACTGGGTTTGCTGGAGCAGGTTCCCAGACAAATGGTGCCACAACTGGAGGTGGTGCAACAGCTCCATCTCAAGGCTTTAATGGGGCTCAATTTGGAATTCCCTCGTTCCCCGGTTTTAACCGAATACAAGGACAACCCTCAAATTTTGCCTTTCGGAGACCAGCTGGTATGCCTTTTGGACAACGATTACCTGGAGGTTTTCCAGGTCAACAACCAAGAGGTATCCCAGGTCAACAACCAACAAGAGGTATCCCAGGTCAACAACCAAGAAGTGTTCCAGGTCAACAACCAAGAGGACCTAGAAATCAACCCCAGGCTGTTATGCCTCAAAATATTGGTAGTATTGACATGAGCAGTTTACAGCCAGGACAAAATCTTGGTAGTGGGATCCAACAAACTATGACGTTCCCTTCTCAAACAGCTCGCGCACAACCAGCAGCAAATCAATTTCCGACAGCAAACGCATTTATTCCCCAGCAAGGTCAAACCCCTGAAAGACCGTCACAACAGACAATTGGGATGCAACAAACATTTAGACCACCACAAATATTTGGATCTGGAACACAACAAAATTTTGGAACACCTCAAAATTTCGGAGCACCGCAAAATTTCGGAACACCACAAAATGTCGAAACGCCCCAAAATTTCGGAACACCACCAAATTTTGGAACGCCTCAAAATTTTGGAACACCACAAAACTTTAGATCAACACAATCTATCGGAACTCAGCAGCCATTTGCACCACAACCAGCTAATATTGCTAATAGAGGTGCAATAGCACAACCATCAGGAGTTCAATCCGTAGCATTTCCTTCACAGACAATTACACGACCTCTGGGGTTTGGTAGACCTACATCGGTAGTAAACATTCCCCCTGGTGCACCTGCACTTTTACCAGGTGAAGTTGAAATAGCACCACCAATTAGTCCAGCTGATGCTGCAGTATTGCAAGGAGGTGCTAACGGTGGTCCTCCTACGGCTGTTTCGGAAATTATTACAATATCTGATATAAATGGAAATATATTATATAGAGGCGTTGATTTGTCTGATACAGATATAGAAAAAATTACACAGCAGTTAGTTAATAATATGACTAATGAACAAGCTGCAGCACAGGCCAACAAAGGTCGTGAGCTAGAAGCTCAAGGTCAGCTCGACTCAATTGGCATGCCACTGTCTGGGTCAACAGGTCAAAGTAAAACCACCGGAGGACAAACAACATCTGGATCACAGCAACCTCCACAGCAACCTCCACAACAGCCTCAAACATCCAGTGGATTTACTGGTCAAGGATTTTCTTCATGGGGACAACCTTCACAAGGATTACGTTTTCCAGGTCAGGGAAAGGTGCAGGTAGTCGGTGATAGTAGGACTGTATTGAATTTGATAGACCCTCCTATTAACCAGGGTTAGTGTAGATAATATGTAGATTGTAGTGAAGTAGATGATATGAATAACAGAAATAACGTAGACCGCATGTGTAATCATATTTCGTATTTTTTTAAAACGTAAATATCCATTATATATAGCATACAGCAAAAGTGTTGTATCAATGACGAGAACTTGTAGAACTTCAAATAATAACTCGAGGAACCCTTCATACGCATATTTTTACTTACATGCTACTTTTTCATCACTTTGTTGTTCCGAATTTCATTTAAAAGATCAAATCGAAATTCCATCCACAAAATGTTATATAAAAATGATATGTTATTGATCTAACCATTTCCGTTTGAAAGACATGAAAATATTAGGGGGTAAACCGGATTCGTTTTTGCTGTCTTAATCATTTAAGTTATAGTGGTGTATGGAAATTTTTTTTTTTTTAAAACTTACGACTTTGCAGCGTGACGTGGTCACGAAGTTGTACTTATTTTGTAGATATATTGAGAGTAATTGATTTCTACTGTAAAAATGAATACGGGAGACTACACCAGAGATATTTTATATCATTAAAATGAAAACGTTCATAGCAATAACATATTAATTTTAAATAAAATTCAGTAGACGGATTTCGATAACTTATATTTTAAAATTTAAATAATGATTTGTTTCGCCATTGTTTACGTAAATTCTATACATTCGAAGATCTGTCTTACAATTTTGTTACTTGGTTGTATGTCTGGAAGCTACATGTATAATTTTGTTGATAGTCAGATGCCGTTCAACGAGTTCTCAATGCATGCATGTATGCTCTGTATATGCCTCCATTTAATAATGTGTAAAATTAGGATCAACACCATGAGTTATGGTGTAAATGAAATTTTATAAAAATCCGAAATGCAGCCCCTTTACGTATACGTAGGCAATGTATTCGTAATATTTTTATTTATTTCATCAGATTTTAAGGAAACTTTGGATGAATTTAGAACTCGTTGAACTGCAAACGACAAATGTCTCACTTCCCGAGATACAGCCAATTAAAAATGTGTAAAATAGTTGAATGTGCGTAAAAGGCGGCAAATGATATGGTTTTTTTTCGCTTTAAATTGTGTGTTCTCGAAAATCCGTCAACAGATTTTTTATTACAAATTATATGTTATTGCTGTAGACATTTCCGTTTTGATAATATGATTTATTAGTGGCTAGCCGAATCCGTTTTTTTTTTTCAATAGAAATCAATAAGTTTCATTGAGTAGCGCAATAAAGGGTCAAGAAGACAATTTATAATTGTAACGTCGTGACGGCGTCACGCTTCAAAATCGTATTTTTCATGATTTTCCTACATCACTCATCAAATGATTATAAAAGACAGCAAAAACGAATAAGGTAACCCCCTTATATGGTCTTGTCGTAAAAGCGGAAACGTTTCTAGCAATAAAATATAATTTTTGATGACAGATTTTTCGAGAAATCGCAATTTGAATCTATAAATTATAGAAAGTACATATTTTTCGAATGTTTTTACATACATTATATGTTTATAGACCTATTTCAAAAAGGTTTAATTGACTTTATCTCTGTAAGTATAAAAGCTACATATGATTTTTCTCCATATTAAGATGCAGTTCAAAGCGTTATAAATGCATACAAAACTTCATCAAGATCTTAAATATCGCCTATATAATATAGTATGGGGTCTTTCGCCATTTTAAATGTCAAATGACAGCAAATGATTGGACCATATAAATTATGAAATCAACTAATTTTAATGCAGGAAGGTTATTTATTTATAATAACATTTTTAATTCAAATAAAGACAATTATTTTGCACAATAATACCTTTTTCCTGAACAATTCTTTAAAAAATGTGTCATTTTTTCAAAACTTGTACTTCTGAAACAAACGGTGACCTATACTTTGCATACTCATTTTGAATAAAACGTCAAAAGCTACATTTGTCATAGTATGGACAAAATTCTATCATTCTCTGTGTGTGTTTATACACCCATTCTTTCTTAACAATTATTCAGTGCGAGTCTGCTGTAGAAAGGTCTTGTTATTTGAGATATCAGCAGGTCTAACATAGAATAATACTTGGAATTGACATCTTTTGATTTGGTTTGATGTCCTTTTGTCTAGATTTTATAGGACCTTTCTAGGATTATTCTATTGCACCCTTTTCTTCAAATTGTCACTCTCTTAGAATTTGTAGTCAATCATTAACAAATAATTATATGCATACTTGCATAGTGATAAATGCTGTCGTCTTGTCTAGGTGAAAGGGGTATACTTATATAATTTTCAAAACATCACCGACCATGGAATATGTTTTCTATTTTACAATAAATCATAAAATGCCATTTTGATATCTAAAGATAGCCATATTGGTATCAAGTTAAACATAAAATGTTCAGAGGAAATTCAAACGTTTGCCAATTAGTGTACTTGCTATTGTTCATTTAAGGAAATTGTCAATAAATTATATACGATTAAAAATTAATCCTAGAACTTACGAGCAAAATAAAATATTTAGAAATACTAGCAGTCTGTCCGCTGTTAAAATAAACCCCAATAGCATGGTTTAGGTTAGAGTCGTTTCCTTGTGTGTTCCTAGTTCAGCACAAAAAAAACAACAATAAACACTGTCTACTTTTGAAGGTTTCCCTGTAGAGTTACATTGTGCAAATAGCCCTAATTTTTGTTTCTACTGAGAGTATTTACTACATCTGTTTAGATTATCTAGCTTGTTTGTTTCTATTGAGAGTATTTACTACGTCTGCTCAGATTCTCTAGCTTGTTTGTTTCTACTATGAGTATTTACTACGTCTGTTCAGATTCTCTAGCTTGTTTGTTTCTACTATGAGTATTTACTACGTCTGTGCAGATTCACCAGCTTGTTTGTTTCTATTGAGAATATTTACTACGTCTGTTCAAATTCTCTAGCTTGTTTGTTTCTATTGAGAGTATTTACTACGTCTGTTTAAATTCTCTAGCTTGTTTGTTTCTATTGAGAGTGTTTACTATGTCTGTTTAGATTATCTAGCTTGTTTGTTTCTATTTAGAGTTTTTACTACGTCTGTTCAGATTCTCTAGCTTGTTTGTTTCTGTTGAAAGTATCTACTACGTCTGCTCAGATTCTCTAACTTGTATGTTTCTACTGAGAGTATATACTACGTCTGTTCAGATTCTCTAGCTTGTTTGTTTCTACTGAGGGTGTTTACTACGTCTGTTCAGATTCTCTAGCTTGTTTGTTTCTATTTAGAGTTTTTACTACGTCTGTTCAGATTCTCTAGCTTGTTTGTTTCTGCTGAAAGTATCTACTACGTCTGCTCAGATTCTCTAGCTTGTATGTTTCTACTGAGAGTATATACTACGTCTGTTCAGATTCTCTAGCTTGTTTGTTTCTACTGAGGGTGTTTACTACGTCTGTTCAGTTTCACCAGCTTGTTTGTTTCTACTGAGAGTATTTACTACGTCTGTACAGATTTACTATCTTGTATGGAATTGATATTCTAACACTTATAAATCACTGCAAAATACTCTTCTCCCTTTATTTTGTTATCGACACGTAACATTTTTAATGTATATAGAGTAAAATAATTCCGAAACGTTAAATAATTCCAAACCATATGTGGACGTTTATTTATACCTGTATAGAGAAATGACCACTAGCGCCTTCTTTGTAATGTTATCCATGTTTATTGTCTCATTTACATGTTCGTATGTCTCACTTATTCTAATGTATTTACTTTTTTTGCATAATATATCATAAATTCATATATACTTTTGTGTTATTCATGATTTCGCGACATTTTAGTTCGAAATCTCCAGATCTTAAGCACTCCTTACAACATTGAACAAACACCTTATTCGGGAAAACCAATTTAAGGTTAATTTGTCGAAAGATATTCAGACGTTTCATGAAATTAAAGTTAACTCCTTTCCCGTCTGTAAAGCTAATCCACTTTTTTGGTGGTCATGGAAACAATTCGGCGCACGCCACTCGTGATTGTTTTCGTCAACATGTTTGCAAAAACCTCTTTCTCAATGAATCTCCAAAGTTTTTACATTTGCTTTCTAAAATTAAATGTAATTTCTTGACGCCATCAGAGTCTTTGCAATACAATTTCTGTGCTATATCAATGCTAACCATATTCTAAATTGATGACTATTGCTGTATTTTGTTGTGCCTTGTTATGATGTGTGATTGCATATCTAAAGTTTCCTCTAGAAACAACAACAAATTAGCTAATAATAAAATGTGTAATATGGCCATAAACGATTGATCTATGATATTAAAAAAAAAATCTTGAAATCAATTTTTTTTTATCTTAGAGCCCGAAAATTTATCGGTTGTTGATGTTTTCAACAACAATAATTTTTTCAGCGTAAGCCAGCCAAGATTGTGCGTAATAAAAATAAAATATACAGTTTGTTTTTCGACTGTGGGTTGCTGATTCAAACTATGTTGAAAAAAATGCTATTGAATGGATGTCACATAAGATAACAATTCAGTGGTTGTCGTTTGTTGCTGTATATCATATTTGTTATTCGTTCATTATTTTGTACATAAATCAGGCCGTTATTTTTCTTGTTTGAATTGTTTTACATTTGTCATTTCGGGGCCTTTTATAGCTGACTATGCGGTATGGGTTAATTTTACCTATTGTTGAAGACCGTACGGCGACCTATAGTTGTTAATTTCTGTGTCTTTTGGTCTCTTGTGGAGAGTTGTCTCATTGGCAATCATACCATATCTTCTCATTTTTATATAAACCCAAAAAATGCTCGAGGATGTGACATTAAACTCATTAAATGCTCGTGGATGTGATAAGTTAACAAACTCATGAAATGCTCCAGGATTTAACATGAGATAACAACCTCATGAAATGTTCTAGGATGTGACATGAAATAACAAACTCATGAAATGTTTTAGGATGTGACATGAAATAACAAACTCATGAACCGTTCTAGGATGTGACATGAAATAACAAACTCATGAAATGTTTTAGGATGTGACATGAAATAACAAACTCATGAACCGTTCTAGGATGTGACATGAAATAACTAACTCATGAATGGTTCTAGGATGTGACATGAAAAAAACGAAGCTCATGAAATGTTCAAGGATGTGACATGAAATAATACAGCTCATGAAATGTTCGAGGATGTGACATGAGATAACACAGCTCATGAAATGTTCGAGGATGTGACATGAAATAATACAGCTCATGAAATGTTCGAGGATGTGACATGAAATAACACAGCTCATGAAATGTTCGAAGATGTGACATGAAATAACAAAGCTCATGAAATGTTGGAGGACGCTTTTCGGTAACCATAAAACAAAATAACAACAATTTCATAAACGTTTAAAAACAGAGGTACCCAAAAATGTACGAAATATGTGTTATAGACTAATTATACATAAAGCGTTCATACGAGACAAGTATTACGTTGATGCAATTTTTTGAGGTTTGACTTCATTTCACAAATGTTTCACTGAAATGTTCATTTGATAAGCTTGAGTCTGGATACTTTTAAAATCAATTATATTTCTATATAAAACATAGGTTATTAACTTATTGAAAGCAACTTTAAAAAACCACGCAATTTTAAAGTATTTTTTTTATAACATCGAAATCATAATACAACACTCACGCGAATATTTATCTAGAATAATGGTAGCTATATGTCTGTCGTGTTTGTGGCAGAGAACGGTGAATGGTAATCGTGTAATGCTTTAGCTCTGCAACTACTAAGTTTATTACACACACCTTGTGTGAGTGTCTAACTGTAATTCTAAACAGGTGCTACCCGCGGTAATTGTTTCTAACAAATAGATTTTGCATGTTTGCTTTACTTGTCACCACAATGTCACATGGCTCGTTATATGCTTACCAACCCTTTCAATCAAAATTTTACAGTCCCATGAATTATTTTGATATGACTATAAATGATTTTTGAACAACATGTCTGCAAAGAGCGGATTATTACATATTTCTTTACTAAAAAAATCATATTCACAAACGAGACTAGGTGACAGGAAATGTTAAGCCACCATGTAGTTGAAGGTTTTTCATGACCATAGTATACACATCAAAATCAACTCTTCTGCCATTTCAGTTCCCTTCGTGTGCCCATTATATTGCCTTTAGAAAAGGTCATACAATCTGAGGATGATAAGGTATCGTATCATTAAAGACACTCCTATATGTTTGCTTAACACATACTATCTTTAATCACCATTTTCTTCGCGAAGTGCCTGTACCTAGTCAAGAATATGGCAGTTATAACGTTTCATTTTTTGTTAGTTTTTATGGACTTCCCTTTTTTTGAATTGACCTTGGAGTTCGGTATTTTTATTATACTTTTTTAATCCTCTATGATAGTTTGCACTGGAATAATACTTGTTATTAACTGTGCTAGATTTCTTATCTCGGTCCTTTATGAAAAAACAGTTGTACTTTTTGACACGAGTGTGCTATTATTAGTAAATTAATATGTGCTGATTGTTGGGAATCTCTTGTACATTTATTCTTATTTATTCCTTTGTATTATCTGTTTGATTGTCCTTATCCCAATTCTATTCAGTGTAATACAATACTACATTAATAAAGTCCATATATTAGTTAACCTAAATAATAGTACATTTTTGTATAGTATCGCTTCTGAAACTATACAACGTGAAAACTGATGAGTCGGGGGCAATAGAAAATCAATTCATTCTTCAAGCGAATAAGCTGACAAAATAGTATCTTTAAGTCGATAAAATCACTGTTTTAAAGTCATTTCGAATTATAGTAAACATTTTATTCCCGCCCCCATGAATTATTTCTTAATTGTGAGTAGTTGTACCGAATAGACAGATTATAGTGCTATGTGATGGATACAGCACTCTCTTACGATTCCTCTCTGCACGTGACAGAACCGATGCAACAACTTTTCGACGGATCCATCGTAGGTGGTCTTTTGCACGGCTATTTTTCTGTCCCTATTCAAACATTTCCCACCTTTATTCCACTTTGAAATAGTATTGATCTGTCCTGAATATGTATTAAATGTTTGCCACTGAAAATTCTACTCAAAACTTTGATAAATCAATCAATCGATGTTAAAAATTACATTTTGTTCAATTAGGACACACGTGAGACTTTTGCAAAATCAATTTTAAAACGTTTTAGACTACCGCTGGATAAATTAGGGCATGCTGGATTATTGCAGAATGCTGCTTGGCATCCGACCATCAACGGTTCCGTTAAAGACTTGATGCAAGGGTTTTTTTTATATGCACGAGGCAACTGTTTAACTTCCCAATTCTAACCGTCACCTTACGTGACTGCATATTTATACATCCCGCACACTGAGCCCACATTTCCGGTTTTTGATAAGGTTCGTAATAGTAATTTGTGGACTTGTTCGTCTTTTCGTAGTTTTTCGTTTTAATGTCCCCTTGGTATCATTAGCTTCTTTTCTACATAGGAGATCTTCGTAAACATGCTTTTTACAACATTTTTAATAACTGAACGTGAAAAAGGAAATATATAACAAAGCATAAATCAAAATCCGTTTCATGTTTTATTAATTATAAGTTCTAGCCAAAATTATTGGCCTAACATTTTTCTCATAAAAATGCTGGTCAATATAAGCCAATTTATCCCGTATTTTTATGTATAACAAATGGTCAAACAATATCCTTTGTAAATGTCGTACAATAGATTAAATGAATTGGTGTAAACAGTGGCACCTGTAAAACATTATACCTAATATATAATGTCTTAATTCACATGTCGTCTAACAGTACGAACCATGTACGTAACAGAAAATATTGTCAGCTAACCATTCCTTTGTATTAGGTATCAATTGATCAAGGGTAGATTGAGAATGCGTCAAATATTACAACGTTTGTTTTAAAACAAGACTTATAATGATTAAGACTAATGGTATTGTCGTCAATAACACATTGTATTATATAATGGCCATTTGTTACATTTGTATGTCAAGAATTTGATAGCCAACATGAATATGTATTCTGAAGTGAAATGATTAATATTAAATATATGATTAAATGATTAATACAAACATATAAAATGTCACAAATAATGTGATGAAATCAAGAGAAAGGATTAAAATATACGCAAATATTACACATATTGCTTTTGGTTATCTATTGAACATAATGACATGTCCATATATCCTAATTTTGACGAAGAATACGGTATATTGTATTGTGACGTCGTGAATATTTAGAGAACGTTTTGAAAAAGAACTTGACCCACCCTTTAAATGGCTTAAAATATTGCACTATAGTAAACAGGATTATCCAAGTCTTAATGTGTTCTTTATTAGATATAATTAATTTTAATACTATAACTGCTAATCATTATATCCCCACAAGAACTGTTTGTACATTCACGTTTGTGGTAAAACTTGCATCAAATTAATCATCAATAATGAACTTTTTGTAGTTATCAGAGCACAAACAACTGGTAAATTAATACAATCTTGTGCTTTATTTGTGGCATGCGTTTTAAAAAAAGATTTGTAATGCTTCTAGATACTTTCATAATAACACATTTGTATGTGGATATATGGGAAGTTAAATAAATCCTGTTGAACTAAATTCTTGTTTGTATGATGTTTAAGCAATGTCAATATCATAATCTTCCTCGTGTTTGGTCAAAAATTATAAAAATACGGCTTGCCATTGCTAAATATGATGTAGCACTAGTACTTATTGCTTATTGCATGATGTCGTATGGAATTTGAGAATACCTATTTTGCTTCAGCTAAAGAAAATTAACACAGATTACAATGTATCTAGAAATACTCTTTTATAGATAGAACGTTTAAAGCATTTGATCTTATATCTATTTTCTTATTTTTATTCTACAGGCACTTTGTTTATTAGAGAAACTCTAACTTTCTATTCAACCACATTTAATCATATATCAAACGACTAACAGTGTAAAAAATCCTAAATTATTAATTATCAAATATATTATAGTGCTTAAAATAAGTAAACCATGATTGAAGAAATGTATAATTTTGATGAATTATCAATATACTAAGCTTGTTATATCTTAAACTGTCTTCATTCTATTCAACAGTAGCACCAGCCAGAAGAACACGTCGATAGTACGTCTGTATACAGACAAATTTTGCGTCGTAAGTATCACAAATTAAAACACTACTTTTTTTTAAGAAATGAAGAGATTTAAGAACATGTTGTGATGCCTATAATTGTAAAAGAAAAAAGTGGGAATTATTCACGGAATACGTTTAATACAAACAGGAAACTAACGACTTAACTTGGATAGTTTATCAGTATTAAAGGCTAACGACGCAGTCAAACAAGGATATAAAATTCCTCCTGTTATTTTATACCAACAACTCAATTTGAGTATGTGCAAAATGAAATTCTAATTAGGATTTGGCATAAAGTTTTTTTTTTTAATTGTTGGATACCTTCTAAATAAAATTTATTGCACATGTAGATAATTCTACAGGAGATATATACTTTTACAGATATATTGTAATCTGATTGACTAAGATTTCGTTCAACTGTCACCCCTCAGACTAGTAGCATCTCAGAGAACCATTTTCTTTATTAGTAATGTTCAATTTCCTAAGGTATAGAGACTAAACTAAACAAAGCCAGCTTTATTTTTAAGAGTTACTGTTTATTTGTAAACTTCTGCACAACTGTGTGTGGGTTGAACATTTTTCTCTAACTTTTACTGTTTTCAAATCAATATTATTTTTTTCCAGAAAATTACAAGCATAAGACATTATTGAGTATCGCTGTTCAACAAACAGTTGAACTAAAATGGTCAAATTCTTTGAGAATACAATGATCAAATGAAATAATGTTATGATAAAAGGGCATGATTAAATATGTAACGGATGTATTAAACATAACTTATCGATGTTAAAAACATAACTGTGTCGTAAATTTATTGTTATTTCCCTGTTTACTACACTGTTACTCTAACGATAACAGTTTTTATGTTAATAGTAAGTGCATCATAATACGAATATTATGCAATAGATGAAAAAAAATTAACATGTTATGAAAATTATTCTCTAATTATTTCCCAACATTTTTTTTGCAGCAAGACGAAACTAATATGTGAGGGGCTTTCATATGTCAACCATTGAAAAGTAATCTAATTACAAAACACAGAGACTGCTTTTGAAACAGCTTCTTTATACTTTAACAATAGAAGTTTAGTTTTTGATAGTTTAGATGATCGGACTATGCAGTTATTTCTCAGAAATCAATTAAAGAGTATGCTTGTATGATCTGACAATGCCTACATAAGTTTATACACCAAAAAGTAAACTACAAGTCATATAATAGTGTCTTTATGTTTCCTTTATATTATGTTGTTAAATGGTCATTAAAGAATAAAAAAAAAGTTATTATTTTTAATACTGATTATTTTATCGGTAGCTGAACGCTTTATATTGGAAATGGAAATGTTTTTGTTGTTGTTTTACTTTGTATATAGCAGTTCAATAAAACATACATGTGTTTATGGTTGTGATTATGTAAAACAATTATTTCGCCTATTTCCACAAAATTTCACAAAAAAGATTACAACTCGCCGACTGCAATTTAAACCAAATACAACACATACTTTTGTTTACCACAGCACAAATTTGTCCTCGTTATTGAGTATCTAATACTTTACACATTATCTAATCTATAACAAAGAAACTGTAACGGAGCCTTTTCTTTTCATATACAGTATATATGTTCTTTTTTACCTCCTAAAGGAGAGTTAAAAAACCACGCTTAATCAATTGATAAAAAAAATGAAGTCAAATGTACATGGAGTCAAAAATGTTATGTTCAGTTCAAATGAATAGAAAAGTACGCATCAGCGGCTCTTTTCACAAAAAAAAAATTAAGAGTAAAAATACTCGTAAGTCATATACACATTTCAGTATAACTTACGATCAATTTTAATCGTAAGATTTTTTGTGAAAAGAGTCACAGTAACGGAAGGTACAGTTGGTCGGAATCACTAAGTAATGCTCCAAATTTGTAGATAACATATTGTTTGGAAGGTCTCTAACTGGTCAGGTTCCAGTTCGAAATCGTCAAGAAATACAGGAAAGCAAATAATAGCAAAGTTCTTCATCAGACATGTTTACAAGGAAGACACTGAAAGTTATTGGATTGATATTATAGACTTCACACCAAAACATATCACGTTTGTTGTCGAGATAGTCACAAGAAGTATTATGGATCCAAAAACATTTTACCACATCTATCACAGAGAACGTATTTGTCTGTTACCTTTGTCTCTAACTAAACAGCAAATTACATACAAGTAGTGCGTTTGTTTGCGGTCGCTTGTTTCCGTAGATGTGGATGCCTTAATGGCACAGTCCATGCAGAGTGAGGTACACAGGATTTCTTGATAATTTTAAAAAGCGACAAAGTCACCGTCTATTTTATTAGCCATTGCAGTTTTCGCAGTACGTTTCCATACTAGAGAGGATGGAAATACTAGTAATCCGGTTTCACAGAAATAATGCAGATATATGTCGATAAACTATACTTCTGTGAGATGTTAATTTTACGGAAAGATATCAGATATCCCCGAACCCGTACCGATAGTAGTTGTCTTAAGGACACTTGTATCAGAAGAACCTAGACCTATATTTCAATTGTAAACAAATGGAAACATCTGATTGTTTGACTGATTGTTGTTTGCTAAACGTTCAGTGGCAAATATTGCATGCATGTTCAGGACGAGATCAAATTAACAATGATACAATTAGTAGGTCCTGAAATAGGGTTGATCGGATGATAGGCGGAAAGTTTTGAATGCCACTGAAAAATGAGGGTACATTTGATATACATTGGATAGGGCCAGAAATTTAGCCTTGCAACAGGCCCCCCCTACGAACCCATCAAAGAGTTGATGGAAGTGTTCTTAATGTGCAGAGCGTGGAGAAATAATTGAACTTCATTCTAAATTGACCCATTTATCATCGAATTCATGATGCCTTTTTGTCAATTAATTTGGTACTGTCAGCAGAGATCCCTTATTGATTTGAATATTTTGAATACATAGCATAATAACGTTTGTCAGCACAGCTACATGTCACCCAATGTTAAAAACAAGTGTCTTCATTAGATGTTAATTTCCATTTTTCTTTTTTTTTCTTTATATGTATATGTACATACGACTGTACATTGTTCTGTCCACTGTAACGAATTTTGTTATCTATATAGGAAAGGAATTTGCATAAGTGACTAGTTACTTCTTTTCCAATACCTGCATTGTACTGCTGTACATGTTTATAAATTGATTTACTGAATATTGTTTATAATTATTGTGATACAAATAGGGAACAGCTTTATAAGGTGAATGAACATAGTTCTGTATCAGTAGAATACGACCAGCTTGACATCAGTAGCTTATTCGGTGTATGCAATCAAAGTGGGATTTCTTGATTAAATTAGAAAAAACTAAATTTTGAATCGATCACGGTATTTCTTCAGTTGTGTTTTGCTAGAATTTTGGAGAAAAAAGAAAAGGGAGTGTGTTTTTATGACACTAAGCATTGAGAAACAATTTCATAGCGAATGATCGATTACTACTAAACGTGCTTGTAATTCTTGAATCTTTAATGAAAATGTCCTATTACTTTATCTTCATTACTCAAAAATAAATCTGGAAAACATGTGATCTCATCTTTATAACATCAAATATTGTTTAAATATTTTGAACAATTAATTTTTTTTGTCATGTCAAAGATATCTTCGTGATGTGTTAAAACAAACTTTAGTTATCGCAAGAAGTGGCTAACAACGTTGACTACTATATATTGTAGTATGTCAATATTCTAATACTGAATAAAAATTGTAGGTTTTCGATCGTTACGTTAATTATATTCTATAAAATGGACCATAATAAAATTGATGGAGTTCTATTTTAACTTAGGGAGCTACCATTTGATTTTTATGGGGGGGGCTAGGATGAAATTTGAAAAAAATAGGCAGGACAGGAGTGTTGAGTAAAAAAAAAGACAGGATGAGATTATTTGCAAAAAAAAAAAGGCAGGATGACAATTTAGTTAAATAAAAAAGTCAGGATAAACTAAAAAAAAGGCAGGACCGAATAGAGTGAAAAATAAAAAGGCAGGACCGAATAGAGGGAAAAATAAAAAGGCAGGACAAAATTTTTCATCCTAGCCCCCCCCATAAAAATCAAATGGTAGCTCCCTTATTGGATATTGTTTTTTTAATGTAAAGCCACATATCTGAGATCAAACGTATCAATGGCAACCAACGAGTAAAACATCTTTCATATTAACCAGACTCAAGCTGGCAGCTACTTTTAGCAGCCAATCAAAATAGCAGCCAATTTTAATGATATGTCTAAAAACAAAAAAAAAATATAAGACTAAAACGTTCCAAAAATTTAAAATCTTAGTTTAATATAATAGCACCTTCTTTGACAGCGGAATTCGACATTTTCACGGCTTGTCGTGATTCACCTAAGATGACATTCCGTTTTATATAACAGTGATGCTAGGAGCCACTTATTTTTCGGAGGACACTGTTTGTTTGATAACATAATTTACAATTTAAAATCGTTTTGTTCCGTTCTTTTGACCCAGGCTATTCGCCACTTAAATATTTTTCTGGGATCCGGGACTGTCTGGCCACCACAGTTTTATTTATATGGCAATTATTTGTACTGGCACATTTGACAAGGAAAATATCAGTTTTAGATTAATAAATTGGTAATGTTACATGCCGTACAAAATAGCCTACGTAGGATTTTTATAGAAAATACTTGTTCACATTCAAAAAAAGATTAACATTACGTGTATATCGAAATGTTTTCATTTCATATACAGGAATAGATATTGAAAATACATTTCAACTGAAATACTAGATATTTGATGATGCGGAGTGTATGGAATACATGTATGTAATTTTATGTCGTACATTGCATCTTTTTTATTCCGTTCATGGAAATATATATATAACACGATTCCTCACAACTTACTTAAATCCATTATTAACAATGGTAGTTGAACTTTGATTTATTATATTTTCTATTCCTACATTGTTTCTGTACCTCCTAATAATAAGGAATCAAAACAACAGAAAAAGAACGGAAAAACGATTTTAAATTGTTTAATTTTTTATTAAAAAGTGGCTGCTATCATCATTGGTATTTAAAACGGACTGTCATCTTTTGAGAATCACGACAAGCCGTGAAAATGTCGAATTCCGCTGTTAAATTATATCTAACAAAGATTTTGAGATTTTTGGAACGTTTGAGTCCTATACAGTTTTTTGGTTTTTAGACATATCAATAAAATTGGCTGCTGGAAAAAAGTGGCTGCTATCTTGTTTGGCTGCTAAAAGTTGCTGCCAGCTTGAGTCTGGTTTTATATTATACTCTTGAAGATCTCTTATCTGTATTTTAAAACAATGGTAGATATCGATTATTATGCAAACTTGATCCAATACCAATTATTATACGGCTTTGTTTATACTTTTTGTCCTTTTTTGGTTTATAAGCTCTTCATTTTTTTAATAAGTTTTTGGATTTTCAAATATTTTGGCCTCGAGCATCACTATAGATACATTTATTGACGAAATGTGCATCTGGTGCAGAAATATTGGTCCACTTAATGTTTTTACATCATAATTTCATTTTTTTCAGTCCTTTCTATGAGTGTACGCGTATAACTACAGCTTATGGTCACCATAAGTTGTTCTCCTGTATCGATAAACCTGGAGATCATAAACGGCAATTTCTGATTAAATATATTAACAGAGGTATTGATTTTGTCAACTTATCTAGTATATTTAATGCCTCTAACATTTAAAACTTCAAACCTCTCTATTTTGATAACATAGAACCACCTATTATTTCGTAAACATACAGAAAACAGTAAAAGTTTAATTTCTAATTATACGTCAGTTACATCAGACGTCAGTGTAGAAAAAAATGTTCCTTCAATCTAAGACTGTGAAACATTGAATGATCCTTATGACCATTCTATTACAGGAACCTCTGCAGCATTCAAGACTAAGAGGTTTTAAACATCTTTTTGAAAACGGTCAAAATATCGTTCTCCATCTAAAAATTGAATAGAAAGAATGTAGTTTCTACCACGCCCAACAATATAATTAGAACCACAGTTTGTCCTTAATATGTATTGGCTGCCTAAACTACACAAAAAATCAGTCAAAAGCCCGTCATCCCGGCCACTAATCTTTCAGTTTCAGTTACAGCATTTAACTAGATCCCTCTCCACTACCTACAAACTTTTCATTAACTTTAGTAATAAAGCATACTAGAAATAATGGAATTGACTTTTTTTTTTGGAATTTAAATTATTTTTGGATGTTTTAGATGAGTAACATGCTTTTGATGGTCCTTTCAATTCGGTTGACAGTTTCAACTTTTCAACTCTACACTACGCATCTACACAATATTATCAAAGTTCAATAAATCGTCTTTTGAAAAATCTTATGGCAAAATCATTTGACA